GATTAACTGTATAGCAAATACATCCTTAAATGGAATAAAATATAAAACTTCTACATGCAAAACAAAATGATATTAAAAGTTCAACACCCGAGCACAGGACGAAGCGTCCCGAGACCTAGTCTCTTCTCAGCCCGTGACGTCTGTTTCGGGAACACTTCTTCTGGTACCGGTTAATTAGATTCAGTAGAATTTATTAGTCGTCGGTCGTATGCACGATCGAGTACCGATCCCGGCGAGTTTTTCGCGGGTGCAATTGTGCGCTTGATGTCAGCGGAGAGCCGATGCTCGTACCGCGCGCGGATGCACGCGCGTGCAATGCTTTTAAGTACGAAATAACTAGGTATGCAAGTGTGGATGTTGCTGCGCGCGGCGAGACGGCGACGAGCGGAGGAGGAAATGCGCGAGCGGGAGGACACGGGCGAGAGAGAAAGCCGTAGGATCGCTTTGTAGTTTGCCGCGACGTGACGCAACTGCCAACTTAAGGAAAAGGTTCCCGGTATTGCGGGATGAGCCGAGCGAACCCGGGAGCCTCCGGACGCATCATCCTCCCTCGCCCCCTTTTCCGTCCCGCGGCCGACACCCGACGGTCAACGACTCTTTTCGGAATTACGCAATTGCTCGAATTTGCCGAATTACTTAAACTCGTCTCCAGCTTCGATCCGACCCGCGCTGATGAAAATTGCCGTCGGTACCCTTTTACCAAAATTCGCCACTGGATCGTCTCGAATTTATATGTAAAAAAAATGTTCCTCGGAGGTCGAATAAATTCATTCCTACCGTCAATTAAAAATTGATTTAATAAAATGCTCGATGAAACAAATTAATTAACGATCTTAGAAACGAATTTAAAACCAGTATAATTTCTGAGAATTGCTGTGCTCCCGTTTCGTAATTAGAGTGAGGAACGTTGGAAGCTACGTGTGGATGGTAGTTCGATTGTCGAGGTACCGAGACGTGGTACGGCTGGCCTCGCGTTAGATGATAAAGAATAACCGATCGACTCAACGAATTGTTGGCTACGACTCTTGCAGGTGAACCGACCGCTCACGATGAAGAAGGAGGGCATACAGACGAGGAACAGGAAGCTTTCGTCGAAGAGCAAGAAGAAGAAGGCTGGTGGCTGTCTGGGACTCGGCGGCGTGATGGGCGATATGATCAAGGCGAGTGGTCACCTAGATCTCGACAACAAGCCCTTCCATTCCGGATTCGGCTCGCCCATGAGTAAGTACTCCTTTTTTACGTTCCAATCAAATCGTTCTATCAAGTCTCTGAGTCCTGATGTATAAAAAATAGTACGGATCATTAATCCTTTCGCTACTACGGGCTACTATAGTGGCCTTCCATAAAATGCAACTGAGGTGCTACGGGCCACTATAGTGGCCTTCCATAAAATGCAACAGAGGTGCTACGGGCCACTATAGTGGCCTTCCATAAAATGCAACTGAGGGCCACTATAGTGGCTCGCCAAAAAATGCCACTGAGGTATTGCGGCCGGCTAAAAAAAAAGGGTTAAACTGGAGAACTGCGAATTTTTACTAACGGGGAAAAAAGACGAAAAAATGTTAGAAGCGATGCGTGTAACGAGTGAAAGCAAAACGGTTGTTAATTTGCATAGAAATCTGCTTGTCTCGAAATGATTGAGACGCCGTTTAATCAATTTCAACATTTTCCATCGAAACGTAGAATGTAACGATTTTCTCTAGTCCACTGGTAATCGTCACGTATGTAGCAAATTGTCAGAATGACTGTTGTGTCATTATTAATGCAACATCAGGATTCACGGGAGATTGAAATGCCAATTCGAAGCTTGACTCGTGCATACAAAGTAACACCGACCAGTAGAAGAGTCATTCAAGTTTTCATTTTACTACTCTCGAACGAAATGAATGATTCATTAACGGAGGAGTTGTCGCGTTAGAAATTTCAGGACGAGGTTCTAAATTAAATCTGCGACACGTGATTGTGCGA